CTGTGTGGACAGGTGGCTGGGGGACTGGTGAGGATAGTCTGATGAGCTTTGTTGCAGATGGACCGCTGCTTCCCTTGGTCCGGAAACTGGACTCATGGACCCTAAGACGACGTGAGCTTTCTCGGCAGCTACTTTAGTCAACACAACTGGCATGTTTTTAAAACATTTTAAAATGAGAAGCGCCAGGTTAGATTTCCTCTTGCTTATATGTGTGTGTGAGTTTTTTAAAAAATTTTGACCATGGGACTTCCCGTCAAAATGTCCAGATAATTTTGAATTCTGACCTGGTCATCTGTCATGTCAGCCATCCCTCAGGCTGCGTGTTGTGTTCCTCGACACATTCTGCTCATCAGTCATGGAAGTTCTTTGAGTTACTTACTGGTGCCGCGCTGTTAAGCCTCCCCTTGTCATTCTTCCGAGTCCTCTTAGTAACCAGGGGTGTGTCAGCCTTTGTAGGCAGCCAGAGAGTTGAGGGTTGGAGTCTGTGCCAACGAACAAAGGAAGCTAATCATACTTGTGACCTTGCCCTCATTAACACTGTGTTGGAACCAAGAGAGCCAGCGTTCCATGGTATTGTTTGACTTTGGATTGTCTCTATTGATTTATGGTCATGGGGTCCGTATTTCAGCCTTCTAAGGAATATAAGAGCGAGGTGAGAATGTAGGAGATTATCAGTACCTATTGCCTTTTTCTAACTCTGTAAAAGTTGGGCTTTGAATTATCAGCTAGTTTTGTACCCTCCTGATGGTGATTTGGTCCCAGAACTAACCAAGACTGACAAGAGTGTGAGGGAAGAAGGCCTCTGAGAGTCTGGAGCATTTGTGGGTAAGCTGATGACCTGGGTGTTCCACAGGTGGGCGTAAAAGTCTCACATTGGCACACTCAAACTTCAGTGTGCACAAGAATTACCTGGATCTTGTTACAATGCAGATTCTGCTTCAGCAGGCCTGGGATTCTGTATTTCTACAAGTTTCCTGCCACACTGAGGCTGGTGGTTCTGTGGAAAACACTTTGAGTAGCCAGCCTTACACAAAGCTGGGACATGAATAAGACTATGAACTAGTCAGCTGGAGGCTGAAACCTGTAAAGTCTGACAACCAGGAGGCACCTGTGGAGTCTGACTTTGGAATGGTTGCCTGCCATTTAGGGCTGGTCTCTGTTGGGATGAGACTGAGGGCCCTCAGCCTTGTCACTTCCATTAGGGTCTGTAATGACCACCAGGAGCAGCTGTGTAGTGTTAACCTTTAGTCCTTAGGGCAGGGAGGTTCTAGAGGGTCTTTTTAGGTGGGATATGATAAACCTAAATGGCAGGGTTTTTTTTGCTAAGTTTTAGTTAAATTGATTTCCTCAATACAATGGTGACTGTACTCCATAATTTAATTTCATTTATTTTTTAAAGACTTATTTATTTATCCAAGAGAGAGCACGAGAGAAAGCAAGCACGCACGTGTCCATGCCCATGTGTGCCCACACATTGGGACAGGGGCAAAGGGAGAGAATCTTCAAGCAGACTCCCTGCTGAGTGTGGAGCCCTTGACAGGACTTGATCTCACCACCCATGAGATCATGACCTGAGCAGGAACCAAGAGTCAGCTGCTTAACAGACTGAGCCACTCAGTGCCCCTATACTTCATAATTTTAACTAGATAAAGAAGGCTCTAACTAGGGGTCCCTGGGTGGCTCAGTTGGTTAAGCGTCTGCCTTCGGCTCAGGTCATGATCCCAGGGTCCTGGGATGGAGCCCCACATCGGGCTCCCTGCTTGGTGGGGAGTCTGCCTCTCCCTCTGGCACGAAGCCTGCTTCTAATGTAGTTTAGGCACAGACCCCTCCTCTGAGGTTTTGACTTTATAAGACTGGAGAGGGTTCTGGGGATCTGTATTTTTTTAAACAAAGCTTCTAGGTAGTTCTTATGGTCCGACAGGTTCTAGAAACACCAATGTAGAGAAACATTGATTTAGAAACCCATCTATCTGAACCTACAGTGTTGACCATGTCTGAGGGACGCCCTTACATGTTCTTTTCTTGGCCTCTTGGGTACTGGTTTCTGTCCCCATGGAATCACTTTAATTTTTATCTTGACACATGCTTTCATTCTTACAGAGAGGCTCTTATCTTGGATGGGACCAAATCAGAGTCCTTTTTCAACAATGTAAGACATCAGTTCTGTGAAGCTGTTATTTTTAGGAAGGTTTTATAGACACTGACTATTAAGTGCTTTTGGGCATTCTTGGAAATACTGGGCTCTAAGCTTTGGACCTCTATGGAGAAGTCTAAGGAATGTCCTGCAGCTGACTTTTCCCACACCCTCTCCCACTTTGGTTTAGACAGACAGCTGGGGATAATGAGTGTCCCCTTTCTAAGTAGAATGCTGACTAGAAATGGATGAGGAAGGGCCCCTCATCCTCCACAGACCAGTTTGGTTCTGATCCAGATGAACTGACAGATTGAGGAGTTGGGCTTTCCATACCCTTATATCAACATTGACCTTCCTCTCTACAAATGCAGGGTCCATCTCAGCCCCACCCCAGATACCAAGTCAGTTTAGGAAGCAGATATAGTAGGAAATGGCTTGTGTGTTGGTTGGTATTGGAGGGGTGGAGAAAGGGCTTCTTCCCTGGTGATTCTGACACATTTCCATCAGAAGCTACAGTAGAAGCAGGCTTTATGCCAGAGATCTGTGGTTATTTGAACCTTTATGATTAGTGATTTCTTGACTGGTACACCTGTAATATCTGGCAGGGAGATCCCTGTAGGGGTGGTGTTAACGATGGTCATGAGATGAAGAAGATTCCTGCTATGTCTCAAATTATGTATGACAGCATCGAAGTCCTCAGGAACTGCTGAGTGGGAGTCACAAACTGATCTATTAAAAATTAAAAAATAAGGTGAATTCACTTAACTGTTGTGCCTAAAATTCTATCATTAGAGAAATTTGGGTGAAAAACTCTAAACCTCTTCTTCAACATGTAAACATCTCTATAAGACAGAGAATACATTTCTTATTTATACATTCACAGGAATAATTTCGTAAAATGCTTCTCAAAAGCGGTTAGCTAAGATCAGGGTATGAAGATAGTGGACTCTGACTTGATGGGGTGAAGTGTGGGTCCTGGACAAGGAAAGCAGTGCCGCAGGGGATAGCTAGAGACAGCAGGTATGTGGGGCAGCTCACCAGGAGCCAGGGCGAGCTGGGAGGGCACTGGGCAGAACTGGTTCTTGTTCACTGTGTGTGTGCGCATACGCATGCTGTGTTATAGGGACTCAGAGAGTCTTCACGATGTGTGTGGCATATTTCACATATACTTGACCAGTTGTAATGAAAAGCCAGGCGATTTATATAAGAAAATTAAGATTAAACATCGTAAATGTAGTTGGGATTATTTTGCTCTTTTTAAAAAGTCTGTTTAGTTTTGAGAGAAAAGCTTGGGAAATGATTCAGTTTCTGTATCTGCTTAACAGGTGAACTTGGCCAGTGGGAGAGACCTTCGTCTATGTAGAGGCTTTTTCCCAGTCCATTTTGAGAAGGGCTTGACTCTTCTGAGACCCCATGCCACCTAGAAAGTGTGCATTAGTGCCTGCTTCCTCTCCCTCATTTGCAAAGAATAGTTTATAGCTGGTGGCTGAACTCTGAACTTGGACATCCTATTACCACAGCCAAAGCTTGTTTGAGTGGTACAGTGTGTTTTTAGAATAGTATGATGATGGGTTAGGAGATTACGTTTGCCCCTGCTGGCTGAGTAAACCTGAACTGATAACAGAAGTGATACAGAAGTACATCCCAGGGACCAGAACTCTGGAAACTTTTAGGAAGACCAACCCACACCCTCACTGATGGCCATTTCTTGCCCCTGCTACCCTCAGAGTCCCTGCTCTGTCTTTAGATTGGGCTTAGTGTCCCTAATTGCAAGATTCACAAGATGTTCCTTCATGCTCTTGGGCAAGGTCTTGAGATAAAACACACAGAAAATGAATCCATTCTATTACAGATCAAATACTTTTGTCTTCAAGGGGTACTGGTTTCCTGGTACCCAGGAAAGGTGGGAACACACAGTCTGTGAATGTTGGAAAGCATTGAGAACCGTCTATACTGCCTCCTGTGGTGTGACCATGAGCTTGCTCTGTGACCTTGGGCAAGTCATTTTACCTGTTTGGCCTAGAGAAGGTAAGGGGATGAATCGAGGCCTGATTATTCTTATTCTAGGTGAGTCTGTATGTCTGTGTGTTCAGTCATTTATTCAACACAAGCTTATTGAGCCCCTCAGGGAGCTGACAGTCTGGTAGGGGAGATCGCAGAACAGTCGTTACCTTTCTTGTGGGTAGTGAGGTGTGCAGTGCAGGGTGGAGAGGCCACGTGGGATGTGTAAGAGGCCTTTAGAAGGTGTGGGCACCACATGCCCAGAGCAGGTGAAGAGGCTGGAGAGCTGGGGTGTGCGGGCTTAAGGTGCAGTCTAGGGAAGGCGCTAGGGATTTCTGGAGCATTGCTTGTGCCCCTGGTCCACATGTGTTTGCTTGACCTGCTAGGAGATCCTGTAGCTTAGTCATCCTCGCTGTGGCGTGGCCAAGAGGGGCAGACTCTGGAAGCTGAGTGTGGTTGGGGCATGCAGTGTATCACCATGATCCGAATACTGTTTTTATGTTTTGGACCCCATTTTTCCCCTTTTGTAAAGAAAAGCAAGAAACATAAGAATGTGAGGATTTGCCAGCTCCTTACAGAAATATACTTTTTTGTTGGGGGGGAGGGGCAATCTCTTCTTTCTTAGAGAGAGAAGATAGATATTCAAAGAGAGAGGCAGCTGAATTGAGCTATTCTCAACCCCGAATTACTTGATGCTCCTGGGCCTTGGCATCTCTGTAACCACAGAGGGTGCTCCACACTCCAGGAAGAAACTTGACCCTCTCATAAAACCACACGGAGCTTTCTGGATGGCCCGTTTCTTTTCTCGAGTGGTCAGATTTTATATCTAGGTGGGAGGAGAGGCATTGTCTGAGAGGAGAAATGTGTGCTCGCTTCGGCGGCTCACACACTAGAATTGGCACGATGCAGAGATTGGCCCGACCCTGGCGCAAGGATGACAGACAAATTTGTGAAGCATTCCATATTTAAAAATGAATGAATGAGGGGTGCCCGGCTGGCCCAGTTGGAAGTGCGTGCGACTCTTGATCTTGGGGTCGTGAGTTTGAGCCTCATGTTGGGTGCAGACATTACTTAAAAATAAAAAATCTTAAAAAAAATAAAAATGAATGAATGAATAAATGAATAAGAAAGGGAAGTGTGCGTCCACTTTCCTGAAGCTGGAGTTCCCTTTGCCTGCCCCGAAGCAATTGAGCCTGCAGAAGGGGATGTGGCATTTCTTGGGGAAATGAAATCCTCCTGCAGCGGTGGTCCCTGGGCTCTCTACCCGTCCGGCTGCAGGGCTAGGAGGGATTCGGAGCATCAACAAGGTCGTGCATTTTCTTGTAAACAAAAATGGATGTCATAGGGAGTAGGCTAGGCCAGCTCTTCCCTACCCTGTACTCTCCCCCACCCCCGCTCCTGGCACTGCCCCCATTTAGTGCTTACTGCCTTTAGGGAGCATCTGGGTCACCTGGAGGGCTTTTAATAACACACATGGCTGGGCTCCACCCTCAGAGATTCTGAGTTGCTAGATCTGGGGTGGGCTGAGAATTTGTATTTCTAACACATTTCCAATTGCTGATGCTGCTGCTCTGGGGACCACACTTTGAGAGCCACAGTGACACCAGGCACTCCTCGACCTTCTGGAGGGTGTGTTGGGACAGGCAGGCTCCGGTCCCAGTGGGGTGTCTGCCTGTGGGGAATTGCCCAGTGCTGGAGGAGCCAGTAATGGGGAAGCAGTGGTTCCCTGGAGTGCCAGAGGGGCCCCAGACCTAGAGCCTTCTCTCTTCACGCAGAGCAGGCACGTGGCATTTGGGGTAGCTGAGTCGGACTGTCATTACCTCCTTCTAATACCATCTTTTCTGTGGTGCTCCTGGACCGTGCTGCTCTCCTCTGTGAGACCCTTCATAGGCTTGCCAGTGGCCTTAAGGTAAAGTCCAAACCCTCCTAAAATGGCGGCAAGGCCTTTTGTGATTCCTTCCCTTTATAGCTTCGTGTCTTGCCAGTTTTCCTCTCGGCCCCGGGAATACGCCGGTGGTCATTAACCCCTTTCTTGGGTGGACTTACTATATTCTTCTTGCTTCCAGGGCATCCCATTTTGCTGGTGCCTCTGCCTGGCAGGCTATTTGCTGGTCCTCTTAGTCCGGCCAACTCCTGCTTGTCAGACCTCGGCTTGGCCATCACTGGCTCTGGCGAGCTTCCTTTGACCCCTCTGGGACCAGCTAGGGCTTCTGTAAAGGCTTCACATCACCTTGTATTTTTCTCACTCGGCTCCTGTCAGCTGCATCAGGGTCCTGATACTGCTTATTTCTTTCTCTGTCTCTCTGGATTGTAAGCTCCCAGAGGGCAGCGAACCCATCCCATGTTCAGTCATGTGACTTTCGGCTGGTTGTTCTGTGGCATGGTTGTTCTGTGAGAAGGATACTGCAGGGGAGGAAACCGAGGCAAAGGTAGGTGAAGTATCTGGCTTCCGGTTACCCTGTCACTGAGTTCCAACACTGGGATTCTAACCCGTCTCCCTGACCCAACCCCTCCCCCACCACCAGACTTTCTGCTTTGAGACCAAGGAGACCTAGGCATGGTCCGCAGGTCTTTCCTGGGAGCATTAAAAGACTGCTTGTTCCAAATAAACAAAAAGGGCCCTTTCCTGTTGTTTTTCAGGTCAACTGGGAAGCAGACTCTTGAATTCACAGCTGGCTTGCGGTTTTTGCCTCTTGTTAAAGAGCACGCAGACAGGTAAGGACCCGCTCAGGCTCAGGTGGGGTGTAGACAAACTAGCCATGGTGATGCGCTCTGATAACCACCCAAAGTTCTCATTCGTTAAAAAGAAAATCCTTATATGTAGGGCGACATTTCCTGTAAGAAAGCTATGAAGTGGTCCCCTGCCCCTGCTGGGAATTGCGGGGCAAAGGTGTTTCTTGGCTGGCTTTCTCCTGGGCGTTGCTGGTCTTCTCATTACCAACATTCTTTTCTTTGAGTGGGGTTCCCTTCTCCGATCCATGTGAGTTGGTCCTTTAGGATTCTTTTTCCTCATTTAAGACCAAGCCCAAATTTCATATGTTAGTTATCAGACTGTTTCAGCGGGAGGCTTTTTGGAGCCTAGCCTTTCCCCTGGCTTTACAGCAGAACCAATCACTGCCTCTCTGCTCACACTGCACACTTGCTTGCTGGGTGAGCTGGACGTATGTGTTCGTGCACAACTTTTCCCTCTAGTCTGTGAGTTCCTTTGCATGTTTCCTGGCCTGGAACAGACTTTCAATAAAAGAACAGATACGTCTGGCGAAAAAAAAAGAGAAAACCCTCGTAAGCTCCCCGAAGGCATGGTGACAAAAAAATCAAAATGTATTTCTAAACCAATTAAATGATTTGTAGAGTGCCTTTTTGGGTTAATTCTCTGCCTCTTTGCTCATATTACCATGCATAATTAAGAGTTTACCGGCAGGGGCGCCTGGGTGGCTCAGTTGGTTCAGGGACTGCCTTCGGCTCAGGTCATGATCCTGGAGTCCAGGGATCGAGTCCCACATCGGGCTCCCTGCTCAGCGGGGAGTCAGCTTCTCCCTCTGACCCTCTTCCCTCTCGTGCTATCTCTCATTCTCTCTCTCTCTCAAATAAATAAATAAAATCTTTAAAAAAAAAAAAAAGAGTTACCGTCATAAGACAATAGGAGTTTAGACTCCTACTCCTAATGAAAAGGATAAGAAGTCAGGCGTTTTCGTGTCATTGTCTTTCTATGGAGTAATAAGTGGTGCTAGGTCATGGAGCACTAATGTGCTAAATGACAGCCTGGGGCCATGAGCAGCCAGCCCTCTTGGCTGCCCTGGGGGAGACCATTGTCAACCAGACCCCCGGAGCCCTGGTCAGCCCTAGGATTGATCATGTGTCTAAATGTGTAGGCAGTAAGGGAGCAAACAATAGACTTGCCCAATTTACAACCTAGAGGAAATAAAAATATTTCTGAGTGGTTTGAGCATTTGTTTTAAAACACAGTTGAGGTTTAAATAAGGTTAGCAATAAGCTTTTAAATTAGTGCCCCTCAGTCTTCCCCAAACTTCTGGGTACGTTGGGTTCTTTGAGATGTGGGCTGAGTGGCTTGATGCCATTTTGCTTCATCCTTTGGGTTGGGAGTAGCAACCCCCAGGCTGCTGGTTCACTGGATATTGAAACCAGCATGGGACCTGGGTCTTCACAGGGGAGAATTTATGGCCTTGAGTCTTTGCTTTTGCCTTCCTCTCCTGCCTTCTCCATGAACACTACTCATTGTTTGGTCTTTCCAGCTGCTTTGGTTAGGTGTGTGCAGCACTGAAGCAAAGAGAAAGGAGTTGTCTTCTGGTTCCTGCATTCCTAGTAGAGGTCCTGGCCAGCAAGTCCCACGTAAAAGCAATCAAATAACTGTGGTTTCTTTTACCTGGTGCCGAGTGCCAGTTATACAGCTACGTCTGAGAATTTAGTGAAAGACAAGGCAGTACAAGAAATTTGACTCTCAGCTGACCCTATTCATGTTCTCAAAATTTCCTAGGGCTTTGGGTAGAGTGAGGAATTGAGCTTTGCCCAGGAATTTCCAGTCTCCATGGAAGCCAGTTTGTCTATCATACTTGAAAAATAAATTAAGGAAATTAGTTGCAGTTTAAAAGCCCAGATGTTAAGATATGAGTGAGTTTTAGCTCTTTAGTAGGTTTTGGAATTTGAGATAGTATTGCCTATTGTGTGTTGCACTGTTCCTGCAGAAGCCGAATGCAAGGTGGTGGCTGTGTGTCTGGTCTTTACACCGCCAAATACATGGGGAGTGCTTACCAGTTGGCAAGAATTAGCAGCTTATTGAGCTTCTAGGAGATATTTGATTCTCAGAGCGACTCCTGGTTTACAATACAAGTCTAATCTAGTTAGAAAACAAATGAGGTAGGTCAAGTCATCAAGTTCCTGATATGGTCCTCTTCCATTCGGGACACTCACACACAGGTATGCATTCAGACACACTTCACTAGCATTCTCTAGTTGCATCTTGACTACCCCACATCATTCTCATTAGCCCAAGAAGTGATACAGCTCCTGAATTTTCTTAGAGCTTCTGAACTTTGTGTTTGGGGTAGGAGGGGGTTCTTCTTTCATGAAATGTTTGCTGTTTCTAAAGATGGGCCTGCTGGTGCCTCAGCAGTAGAATTTGTATATCAGGGTGTGCGCGCGTGTGCGTGTGTGTTTAATGTAGCTGTTTTGGAGTGTTGGCCTTGATCCAAAGGTACTGTCCAGCATGGGCCCCTTGTGTCCAGGGTAGACATCTGGGAGCCATCAGAGCAAAGGCAACGAGCGGACACAGCAACTCTGCCTCTGGCCTCAGACTCCAGTGTTGTTAGCATACTGGTCTCTGACTGACCATGTCCTTTCTTGTTGAAATGGCAGGGAACCCAGACTGCAGCTCGTTACAGATACACACAGAACATAAATGGCCCATCTCCCCTCAGGTGTCTTTGGTTTTTTGTTGTTGTTTTGTTTTGTTTTCAGGTGAAGCTTTTATCTTTCCGTCTTCTTAAAGGAGAAACAAAGTCTCCAAAACAGACTTCCAAGTTTCATTTGCAAAGCCGCACCCAGGAATTAACATCTCTGGGAAGAGTTTGCTGTTTTTCCATGTCCAGGTCACAGTGCATCATTTAGGAGCCCCTTTGTCCTTTGATCAGGTTGCTTGTCAGCTGTGATTTGTTGGCTGGTTTGTCTTATCCACTATAGGAGTTTGTTGTTGATTTCAAAGATAACTTATAAGTACTTGTTTCCAGGAAAACTTGCTTATAAACAGAAGCTCTTGGACTTCTCCTTTATGAAGAGACTGTTGTTTTGATCACTCTCATGTCCTCTTCAAGAAATGGTTGTTTCCTGTTCCTTCACATCTTTTTACCTGAGTTGGAAGGAGGCCGTCGGATAACTAGTTAATAAAAGTAACTTTCCCAAATAGGCAAAAGAGAGTGAAAGAGTTTCCTCTTTCATCTCTTTTGATGATGAAG